TGATCTCGCTATCTGCTGTCTCTCCCTTGCCTGACCACCTGGCTTTTAAGAGGCCTTCTATGTCATGTCGCTACCTTTGTAATTCATTCATTAGCAAGGATATTTCACCAGGGTGCCAACGCGGTCTTACATTCCAGGTTCTGTTAGAACTAGAGAGGGGAGGTGATTTTTTACCTCTTAGACATGCTGATAATAAAATACTACATATAGTTCTGGCTTCCACAGTTGAAAAAAAAAAAGGATACAGGAGAATTTTCACTGGATCAGAAAAGTTACAAAAAAGTCATTTGAGGGCTGTAGGAGATGTGTAGATGTGTTCCAAGGAAATGTATAGGGAGCTGAAGGTGTTTAGCATATCAAAAGGAAGATCAAGAAGAGATTATGATTATGGTATATGAGTACCTTCACCAGAAGAAAATACAGGGCACTAAAGACTTTTTCAACCAAGTAAAGAAAAGCATGAAAAGAACCAAAGGACAGATATATTAAAATTAAAAATAAATCAGAAATGTGTTTCTGACAGTTTGGGTGATTAACACACTGAACACCATTTGGGAGAAGTGGTGGATTTCCCTTGAATCTTCAGGTCCTCCTCCATGGGAGCTGTACCCCGTTTCTGCAGCGACTTCTCTGTGGTGCTTTGGCACAGGAGCTTGAGACACTGGCGTGGATTTTCTCCCTTCTGATCTCTCAAGGCCTGAAAATCCAGATGTGGAGATGATTTGGAGGGATGTGTCTCTGTGCCTCTTCCCAAAGGGATCAGCCAGCCAAGGGGATCATGCCAGTGCCCCTGCCCATCACTTCTAATGCTGACACAGGTGTGCACTGAAGAGACCATACAGCGTGGAGCAGCAGAGTCATGCAAAATACTCAAACTGCCCTGAAAACTAAAATTCCCTGAAATGTGGTTTGTAGCCATGCCTGAAAAATCTGTCTATGGAGTTAACAGCTATTTTTGCCATAATTTTTCATGCTGGCCTCCTCACAAGTGAAGAACTTTTTCTTTCGGCAGCAGCATGTAAATAGTGATTTCATAAGAAATAGAATTCTCCAAAATTACTATTATCTCCTGCTTTCAACGTGACAAGTGCCGGTCACATGCAATTTACAACCTTCTCAAAAAGACTGTAATTTTTCATGGTCCTCAGTTTGAGAACACAAGACAAAAAATTTCTACCACCACCGCGATGCTCATCTGCACCACTTTCTGGTAGCGTTCAAGTTCACCTTCATCCTCAAAGCATCTTTGTTCTCCATGGTAACAGTTATAGGTGACAAATGTCTTTTAAGAGAGCATCTTAACTGATGTAAAAGTCAGCATTGCTAAAGCTTTAAAGCTTGGAATACTTGTATATACTCTCAGTAAAATATAAAGGGGCATTGTCAACTTGAACTTTCCAAAGCTATTTATCTTTAGAAGTATTTTGTTAACTTGAGTGCATGTAAGGAAATCTAATCCAAAAGGGAATTTTTTGGGTTTCCTACTGATGTCTGTAAAGGTTATTCTAGGATAGTTAGTGCTTACATAATGCCCTAATAAAAACAGCTTCCTTCACTGTTTGGTCCTCTGCAAAGATCTGGTGAGGGCAAAGTAGATCTATCAAAAAACTTTATTTATTTATTTATTTATTATTTATTTTTCAGGAGAATTTGATGTGAGAGGAAAGAAAATTGATTTTTTTTCATTAAAAACTCAAGTATTAATAGAAAAAAGTGATGATTTTTCTTATAGTGTCTGTAAATCAGAAAGTCTTACCTTTCAACTGAAGTTCACGTGCTACTGATGCGCTTGTCTCATACTGAGCACTCCTCGAGCCTTGGTACCTTCTTCAAGTTAGTCATGTGTGAGTCACATCTCCTGTGCAGCCACAGCAGGGGACCTGGAGCAGGCTGACAAACCTGACCGTGTAGACACAGAGATGCTCTTAATCTGGGTTTCCATAAAGCACAATGGTGACACTCACAGAAGCCCAGACTGGTGGGGTTGGAAGGGACCTCAGGAGATCATCCAGTCCAAC